TGTAGGAGTGAGCTGTATATGTATTTGCTGATGGTCAATGTACCAAATAAGAAACAGACACAGAAAAATAATAATCACTTTTTAATATAAAAAAAAGCTTACACCAAACTATTATGCTCTATTTCTTTGTAGCAAAGAAAAAATACGCCCCCCATAGGGATAGTTTTTCAGGTAATAATCCCCAGACCCCACCCCTCAAAATGAATTCTGATGGATCTTGAATAATATAATGGCACCATCACGGAACCTTGTGAGAATTAACAATATTCTGCAGGGAAACTAGTAATAATTGTTAGATGACTAAATAATATTGCCCCCAACTACTCATAGAGGGGCTATATTCATATTTTAGATGTTGTCTAAAATATGGGACACAAAGAAACTGAAATAAAGTATGAGGCAAACTGGCCACTACATTAGGAAATATTGAACATTCTTTTGTTTCTTACAAATTCATTGATGAAACAATGAGAAATGGTGTCTGCCTATTAAACATACCCACACCCACACCCACACACAGTTCATTGATCAAACAATGGACAAAAGATACTATTTGGCTGGTTCAACTGTCCATCTTTAGATGAAATTGACAAAAGTTCTGTCACTTTCCTCTTCTGTACCAATTACAAGAAGAATACTAAAATTAGCCTTTTCCCTTTTCCCAATCCAGGAAAGATAAAGAAGCAAAAATATCAGAATATCAGGGTATCAACAGGGTCAAAGTGGAGGAAAAGTCTGAAATCCGGAAAGGGATTTTTTTAAAAAGACAGCTTCGTTTCCAGCCAGTTTACATTCAGAAGCTTCTACCATGCAGACAGAGGTTGAGCTTCCATCTGCTCTATTAATAAGGGGCAGACTGGTGCACTGTCATTTATTTCTGAACTGGATGTCAGTGTTTGTGGCTGTTAGTTGACTTAGTTTTAAAAAAAAGGTGAGAGGCAGAGATTTAGAAGATGAAACAAAAAGATCAAGAAGATAGACTGTACTGTATATGTTAACCAAAACAGCTAATTTCAGTTATCTCAGGCAAGTTAAATGGCTTGCCACTATTGAACTGCCCTGGAAATTGTCAAAAGACATTATTATTTTTCTTTCTTTCTCTTTACAACCTTTTCCCCTTTCTCTTAGTTTTCTATGTTTTTCCTATTTTTATCTTATAAGATTTAATAATATTCTTTTTTTAAAAAAGGAATGACATGCTACTTTATACATATTAAGGCATGTGCAAAATATTTAAAAATGAAGTTCAGCTATGGGATCACAGTACAAGCAGAAGAGGAAGCATGAGCATACCACCGCTATGATCAGCCATTCCCCAACTAGCACCTTCCCAACATTTATGGATTGTGACTTCAGTCTTTGGCCATCAAACTTATTGGAAATGTTGGGTGTTGCAGTTCCAGCACATCTGGGCCAGATGCCAGGCTGCAAAAGTCTGTAGCAGGTAGATTTTTGGCACCAAGTTGAAAACAGCTGAAAAGGGGAATTCCAAGCCTGAAAAACTGAGATGCCAACTTATCAGGTTCCCATTGTGGAATGTCAGGTTCCATCTGCCAACATGATGCTTGAAGGCTGCCGAAGCTAGACTAAATCTATAACACATTAACTTTGCATTGTTCGTAAGAATGTTTTTTCCTTGGAGGAAAATAAATGACAGAGAAATACTTAATCAAGGCATAAAGTACTTTTGCTCCTTCAGAAGCCTAAAAGATTTGGTATTCTAATGCATCTCTAAACTACCAGATTAGTGGGAGAAGGCATGAAGGAAAGATACGTACCTATATTAAAGAAACAAGATTGTTGGAAAGAATTAATTTTTCCAGAAAGTTGCACTAGGATAGATTAATAGAAAGTTGCATTTCATAAATACAGATGTTAGAAACAATTGTGGTTATTCAGCATAGATGGAAAACGCACTGTGTACATGTTCAAATTCAAAAGTTATCCTACCTAATTAGTCAATCTATATATGTATTAGGCTTTAGTGATGGATCTCAAGATGGTACAAGGAGCAATCTTTTCAGGAATGGTCCATAGCCAGAACAATTTCTTGTAGGATTGATCCACATAGCAAAAAGAAAAATTCAGGCAAACAGATTGCAACCTAAGCATCAGTTTCCATATTATGGCAAACGATGTCTTTCTAAAACCATGTATCATTGTTGAATGAACCATGAATAGTGGGCTTCAGATGTCACAATTGTTCTCTATTGGACTCATGAAGTGACAATGATATGGTGCCTCATTCCATATTTGCTGCATTTCTTGCAATTTAGCAGACTGGGCTTTCAAAAATGTATCTTTGAATGATACATTGTTCAAAATACAAATGTATCTTTTCTCTTCATTCATTGCAGTTATTCAGCTTTGTTACTGTTTACTAGACAAGTATCTTGAAATGAGGTTTATTTGGTATTTAACTTTTTAGTAGATAATAACAGCAACCTGAGACTATTGAGTCTCTAAATGTGTGTTTGTATTGTGTTGCATTGTAAATGTGTGTTTGCATTGCTTGTTATGTGTTGCTTTCATTTTTGTATTCTTTTAACTAAATTTTTCAGTTTATATATACACACAGAGAGAGGGGGGGAGATATTATATTAACTGATTTGTTGTCCATTCACAGTTATGTATTTAAGATGGATAGCTATATAACCTTGTTAAATAAGTACTTTTTATGATCTGCACAAGTCAGCTACTAGACAAATCTTTTTACTGTCCTATTCAGCTATGTTTGGATAGGTATAGATGTCCTGCTTTCAACTTTTGATCAGATTCTGTTTGAATAGTTTGTGTTTTACTGTATAGTTTTTTCATGTCTAATGCTTATATAAATTTCTATAGACTGTTTTTCAGCTTTTTTGCTAAGATCAAGTATGCTCTCTCTCTCTCTGTGTGTGTGTGTGTGTGTGTGTGTGTGTGATTTTTCTGCAGGCCTTGGTTGGGTGGATAAATTGTTTTGTTTTTGTTGGTTGACGCTGGATCCACAATAAATCCATTGTATCTGATATTTTTTTTAAAAAAACCACTGGCTATTCTTCCCAGAGCTCCCACAAATTTTAAAAATAGTTGGCAAAAGCATCACAGTAGCAAACTGAACAGATGCTGCCTATAGCTGCCAAATCCTCCTTCCTAAATGGGGGCAATAAGCAGCCTACAGTCACTTGCCTGGCACAGCTGTTCTTACATCAGGACTCAGGGAGAGAGGAAGAAGCCGCCTTACTTAGAATAGAATAAAGATGGAAGGGACCTTGAAGGTCTTCTACTCCAGCCCCACTCAAGCAGGTGATCCTATACCATCTCAGACAAGTGGCTGTCTAGTCTCTTCTTAAAAAAGTGATGGAGTGCCCATGGTTTCTGGAGGCAAGCCGTTCCACTGGTAAATTGTCCTCACTGTTAGGAAGTTTCTCCTTAATTACAGGTTGCTTCTCTCTTTGATCAGTTTCCAACCATTGTTTCTTGTTCTTCCCTCTGGTGCTTTGGTGAATAATGTGACCCCCTCTTCTTTGTGGCAGCCCCTCAAATACTGGAATACTGCTATCATGTCTCCCCTATTTCCTCTTTTCTTTAGACTTTCCAAACCCAAGTCCTGCAGCTGTTCTTTGTATGTTTTAGTCTCCAGGCCTTTGATCATCTTAGTTGCTCTTCTCTGAACTTTTTCCAAGGTCTCAATATCTTTTTTGTAGTATGGTGACCAAAACTGGTTGCAGTATTCCAGGTGAGGTCTCACTAGGGTTTTATAAAGTGGTACTAATACTTCGTATGATCTTGATTCTATGCCTCTGTTTATGCAACCCAGGATTGTATTAGCTTTTTTGGCTGCTGCTGCACATTGCTGGCTCATAGTCAAGTGATTGTCCACTAGGACTCCAAGGTCACTCTCACAGTTACTGTTTTTGAGCCAGATCTCACTTAATCTGTACTTATATCTTTGATTTTTCCTGCCTAAATGTAAAACATTGCTTTTCTCCACATTAAAACTCATTTTGTTGGATAGGGCCCATTGTTCCAGTTTGTCAAGATCTTTTTGAATCCTGAGCTTGCCTTCTGGGGTGTTGGCTATTCCTGCCAGTTTAGTGTCATCTGCAAATTTGATGAGTTCCCCTTCTGTTCCCTCATCTAAGTCATTGATGAAGATATTGAAGAGTACTGGGCCTAAGATGGAGCCTTTTGGTAACCCACTGCTTACTTCTCTCCATGTGGATGTAGTACCATTGAGGACTACTTGTTGAGTATAGTTTGTCAGCCAGCTACAAATCCATCTGGTGGGGATGTTGTTTAATCCACTTTTTTTTAGCTTACCAAGCAGTAGATTGTGGCCTACTTTGTCGAATGCCTTACTGAAATTTAAGTATACTATGTCCACAGCGTTTTGCTGGTCTACTGATTTGGTCACTTTATCAAAGAATGAAATAAGATTGGTTTGGCATGATGTTTTTAACAAACCCATGCTGGCTACCAGTTATAACTTTGTTTGCTTCTAGTTATTCGCAGATCTCTTTTTTGATTATCTTTTCCAGGATCTTCCCAGGTATTTAAGTTAGACTGATTGGTCTGTAGTTTCCTGGGTCTGTTTTTTTCCCCTTTCTTGAAGATGGAAATCTTTGGTTACACAAAGCATCATCAAATCATCATCATCATTATCATCATCATCATCATATTGGTGGTGGTGGTGATGATGATGATGATGATGGAAGGGACCTTGGAGGTCATCTAGTCCAACCTCCTGGTCAGGCAGGAAACCCTATACCATTTCAGACAAATGGTTGTACAGTCTTTTCTTAAAGACTTCCAGTGTTGGAACATTCACAATTTCTGGAGGCAAGTTGTTCCACCTGTCAGGAAATTTCTCCTTAGTTCTAGGTTGCTTCTCTCTTTGGTTAGTTTCCATTCGTTGCTTCTTGTCCTGCCTTCAGGTGCTTTGGAGAATAGCTTGACTCCCTCTTCTTTGTGGCAGCCCCTGAGATACTGGAACACTGCTATCATGTCTTCCTCAGATTATGCATGGTGGTTTCTTTGTGAGACCTAGTGAAGGTGGCCTCACATGGCTATCAGCCTGCATTAGGAAGGGCCAGTCTGGACAAGCATTGTCAGCAATAGGAAGCAAGAAGATGGTGAAGTTCATCTGCGGTGGTGGAGCACAAGGTGGCTGGGGCCTCAGAGTGAAGAGTGGCTGGAACTGGGCTCAGGCAGCTGCAGCTTTCCAGGGCAGCACAGCAAGAAACCCACTTTTTTATTGTGCTGCTGGGCTGGCTGGAGCTGCACCATGGCTCAAAGACTTCTTGCAGCCCCAGTGCATCAAGACATCCCTTCACAATTCCAAGGGTGGAGCAGGTTTGTGATGCATTGTTCAGCTTCTCAGGATGCTGCAGTTTGTGCTGCACTGCTGGGCAGGAACTGGGGCAGCTAAGGCTTCCTGGAATGGCTGTAACTTTGCACTGTGCTGCAAAGTGTGTGGGGTTCTTGTAGCCCTGAGCAGTGTATTCTTTCCCTGGCCTCCCTGCCTTGACACATATGCATGCAAGCAACCTGCACCCTTTCTGCAACCTCCCTGAGCTCAAGCCACACTGAAACACCCACTTTGTGTGTGGTCTGCACTGGGTTTGCCAGGGCCTTCCCCATCCCCTGTGGCACCTTTGCTCCACTCCTTACCTTATGCTTCCTGCTCAGTGCCTGGAGTTATGAGAACTGGGACTGCTGTCACTAAACAATTCAGTCACAACTGCATTGTTCAGTGGTGGAAATTCTGGTCCCAATTTTGGTTTTAAGTCAAAGATTACCCGTAGTATATTTGTATAATACTTCCCAGTATTATAATCTTGCAGCAGTTCCAACTATTCAAATATATATTTAAAAATGTGTACAGCAATTTTATTTTATCCCAATTCTTTACTTTTTGATATGTGATTCCTGGGGCCCTGTTCAAAGGCTGATTGACGATAAAAATGAGAGGAACGGAGAGAGAAAAAATCCTGCCTTGAGTTTACTGGACACATAAGACATAAATTAAAGAGTTAAAACACTAGCATCCTGTTTGTATGTTAGAGTAGTTATAAATTTCCAGTGGGCACTTCTGTCTGTTGGAATAGGAACTATATGTTCACGGTTCATTATATACTACTGCCATGTTGTCTTCTAAGAGGGAGGGGGCAGCCTTTTGTCCCACCTTTTTAATTAAAGTAGAGGCATTCTGATCTTTAAAACCAGGAGCATCTGGAGAAGAGGGGAAAAGTTATCAGCTGCAACCTCTATGAGACAGACGAATATCTTGTGTCAAGCACTTAGATAATACTAAGGGCTAACATATTTATATATAAAACAGGTTATGTCTAAACTTATGATAGGGAGCAGAAGTTTTCACTTACCTTGACTGGCTACCAGCCTACTTTGCAGATGTGACCCATTTGATTCAGTGTTGTTCTTTTCCTTTTCTGTTTCATGTTGCTATAATTATATGTGTCTGTGTATTAAATTTATACACACAAACCATGTACTCCTGAGACAAGTTGTGGTGCAAGCCATTGGCAAAATGCTGCTCTGACACTGGAATATGAGCAGAAATATCTGGAGATTTATATCCCCTGGAATGTGCTGTACAATTCACAGAGAAGCCTCAGGAGCAATGCACAGAAGAGACTCCCGCTTTTCACTGAATTCAAATTAAAAATTCAGTTGAAAAGTGTGAGTTAATCCCAAATTTTTCAAAGGCAACGACTGTCATCTTGGATTGTGCTAACTAATACAGTGCTATTGGGAAGAGAGAGAGAGAAAAAGATTTGGTGATGCAAGTTCTGGCCTCAAGATGATCTGAACATTGACTGAATGTAATCCAGACTAATTTTAATTACAATAGAGACATTTTATTGTTTGCAGTTGGGTTTTTTTTTTTAGCTTTTGCTTGTACTATCTTTCTATTCCACGAAAAGCTGCTTTGCAGCTATAATACACTGTAGTAATTAACACATGAAAGACAGTAAAATAATCTTCAGCTTTACAAACCAAAAACAATACAGAAAGAAACCACAGTTTTTCTAAGGGCTGACTAGCTCTTTAAAAATTATTTAAACATTTGAAAATATTAAACAAAAACTGGAAGCCAGATAAAATAGTTATACTTCCCCATCAATGACTGAAACAAAGCACTAGACCAGTGGTGGCGAATCTATGGCATGTGTGCCAGAGCCCTCTTTGTGGGCACGTGTGCCATACCCTGGAGATGGCAACCGTCCCTCTTCAACCAGCTGCCCGAGGTCCCACCTGGCCGGGTGCATCCCGGCATGGCTGGTTTCCCTCCACCCACCCCCCTGTCCCGTCCCTCCTGGGCACGCATGCTCTCCTTTTCCCAGGCATGACCCACTGCATCATCTCCTCAGCTGTTGGCCAGCTGGCCAGCTCAGAGGCGGCTTCTCTGAACTGCTGGTGGTGGGCTGCGGAGCCCCAGAGTGCACCGGTTAAGGAGCTGGCAGGCTGTGGCTGCTGATGGACATCATCGGCCCCCATGCATTCACTGGCCTCTATGTGAAGGGGCCGATGGTGTCAGGCAGCAGCTGCCCCGGCCCCTGCCTCTCCTTGCCCCGCAGCAATGGCACCCCCGCCCTGCCTCGCCTCACCTCACCCCGCAGGACGAGCTTCCTGCCCACCACCCCACCTGCCAGAGACTCCCTGGATCTCCCCCAACCCTGCCTGGCCCCCACAGGCATCCCTCCCCATGAGCAACATCGAGGTGACCACACCCACTTTGGCTACACCCACCCGGTCTGCCATGACCACCACATCCATGCCCACCCAGTGGGCCATGTCCCACCTGGCACCTGGCGATAAATAAGTGGGTTTTGAGTTGCAGTTTGGGCACTCGGTCTCTAAAAGGTTGGCCATCACTGCACTAGACTCTCAAAGGGTGCAGGGAAAAAGCAATATTGTCATCTTGCTCAGGATAGCTTCCAACAATGAGACTCACAAGTTACCATGCATTGAGATCTACAGGCACTACCCAGTGCCTAAAAACAGCAAACAAAAATTGTGTACAAGTAGCATATAAGAAACAACATATAGCTATGCCTATAGCTATGCACTGGTATATAGCTTGGGAGTGGGGGGGAGCTAATAAGATATCCGGGAAGCAGAGTTCAGCAGCTGATCTTCCTCTCATTCTGTATACGTTGAGTTCTCCTAATAGACAGGTGTGATTGAACTATAAATCTTGACATCCTGTTCATTATTCATTCTTATTTACTTTATTTAGATACCCTCTTTTCCCTATGATACCAAAAAGAAGCCAATCATGTGTTGCTGCTAGAATGGCAGCTTAGGAATATCCAGGCCTCAGAGATTGTCATCACTTTTCAAAATCAAATGTTACTCAAGGAGACATTTAGGAGAGGAAAAACATTTAATTTCCTTATGAATTTTTATTGCACTGTTTTTCAAAATACTTGATGAGTTCTTCAAAAGGGATGAGTTTGGTCCCTTGATTTTTATTTTTATGATAGCCTGGGATGTAGATTTGTCTGAGGGCATAAGGACCGGAGCATTTCCTGAACTTATGAAGCTCTGCCACAAGACACGGATATGAATATCACCATTGGCCACTAAACCTGCATTGCTAATCATATACCTTCCTGTCCACAATTACTGATTCCATGGGATTCTTTTTCCCATGGACTCCCATTTTCTTTTCTTAAAATACAATGAAGGGGGGGGGGTTAAGAGGTTTTAAATCTGAAGGGGTTAATTTTCAAAGATTTCAAGTATTAGTTGAAAGTGTTCAGCAGATAGGAAATATCAAGGGCTGAAGCTTCTGGCAGGCAGGTAACAAATTAATTAGGTCTACCACTCCTTGCTTTTTATTTGCTTCCATTTCTCTGACTCCAGAATGCATTTCACAAATGAATAACATTTTAATAAATGCTTTTGGCACTTGAAAATTGGTTGCTAAATTCCCAGTTGTCAAAATGGACATACCCAGAAGTCTACAGCACATTCTGAGATAACATAGATTCATTGCAGAAACAAAGATTCATTGTGGGATGAAGGGAAGGGTGAGATTAGTCCAGTAATCTAAGTACTTTAAATGGATCTCCCTTGCCTCCACTGCCAGGAAATCCCCATTTAGACAGATAGAGAAGGATCATACATTTTGTAGAACCATTTACAGATTCACAAGATTCTCTGCTGGCCCTTGTGCAGACAAATGATGTAAGCTAACAGCCTCCAAGCTGTATTCCAACAAGCCATACACCAACAAGGCACTGCTATGTGTACATGTGTACATGTGTAGCTCAGGAGTTCTTATGGCTGCTGCTGCCTCTTTAAACTATATTAGAATGTCCTGACATTCAAGACCCACTGGAGAGAATCAGTGAGGGTTTTTTATCCTGGCTTGTCTAGAGAGTACTACATTGTAGATAGTTGATCAGGAATGTGTTCTGGTATCATTTAGTTTATCCTGGTTGGCATAAGGACTGTGTTCACACAACATGCTAAATCACAAAGTGATATGGTTTATTTTGAGCTTAGTTTGTTGTATGAACTCAGTTAATGGATGGAGAGAAACAGCTGACAAATTCAGTTTGCTGGATGCCACATTCTCTGACTTATCTGGAAGCCAGCTGTGGTTCTTGTCTCTGGCTACAACTTTCTTTAATGTGCTCTACTTTAAAACTTTAAACATAACAGCACTTGCCTGCTTTGTTACTGAGGCAGAATAAGATTAGGCTGCCGGGGCAACTAATTTCACTCAAGATCTGGTGGATTGTATTTTACCATAGTAGTCTGGATCCATAGAATGGAATGATTAGGGCAATCTTCCCAAACTAACACCCTCCAGATGTATTCACACCACAACTCCCAGAATTCCTAAGTAGCATGACTTTAATCCTCATAGCCTGGAGTTATGGAAATTGCAATCCCAATACTTCTGGAGTATATCACATTGGGAAATGGCAGAGCTAAGGGACCTGGGAATCAGCCAGCAGTGTGCAGCAGCAGCCAAAAAAGCTAATACAATCCTGGGTTGTATAAACAGAAGCATAGAATCAAGATCATGCGAAGTATTAGTACCACTTTATAAAATCCTAGTAAGACCACACCTGGAATACTGCCACCAATTTTGGTCACCATACTACAAAAAAGATGTTGAGACCTTGGAAAAAGTTCAGAGAAGAGCAACTAAGATGATCAAAGGCCTGGAGACTAAAACATATGAAGAATGGCTGCAGGACTTGGGTTTGGAAAGTCCAGGGGTGTCAAACTCACAACATCGCATGACATGTCATGACGTATCTCGACTTTTTCCCCATTGCCAGAGCTGGGGTGGGTATGGTTTCAGCATGATG